AGGTTGCAGTTGAAATGAAAGTACTTGCAGCAGCGAGGAATAACATAAATAATTAAGGGCCCTCCCCCTCTTTTTTTGGGGTAGGATTTTTGGGGTTTGGGATGAAAACTAAGAGATTAAGCGAAATAATAATCAGATAAAAATTTTGGCTGTATATAATTCAATTGATTGTTTTTAATTATTCAAATGGTCTTACTGAGGGTACAAAGTTATTGCGGTGTTAGGTTGGAAGCAATTGCTGGGGGCTGTTTTATGCAAAACTCTTTGGCGTTTAATATCTATTTTTTAGTTTTTAATTGAATAAGACCACAGCTTTTGATTAGGCTCAGTCATCGTTTACCCCAGTAGATAAACCAATTAACAATTCTGCCAGGTATTATCGTGCTCGAGATCCTAACACCCACAAGCACCGTGAGCCCACATTCACCAAAGGGGGAAAAAAAATAGTTGGGGCTGCTTCATCTCTTAAAGAAAGTAAGGAGGTTGAAGCTAGGCCAATGCCAGAGACACCCTGCCCCCCTGCACACATTATGCACCCCGCCCACCAGGCGTCTCACCACACCCACTGTCACACTGGCCTCTCACCTACCAAACCTCCTTTCTCACAACGTAATTCTATTGTTGTGCGTTCTCTACATGGGGTACGCAAAACTTTCTTTTGTTTTCGACCGCTTTTTGTCTTTACTCGGGTCTTTTAATTAACGACACTGGTTAATAAACCTCATGACGAGTCCGTTATTTAGCTGCCCTGGAGACAATCACGGAAAAATCAGGCTGTGCTGAAGAACATGATTCAGCAAGGAACTAATATGTTAGATATATATATGATGTATAAAATGATTATTGGGTCGTATCTGGGTGGTTAAGAGTATATAATATATGGATAATTAGTTGAGGCAGAGCAGCGCAAAACAATGACACTGGAATATAGATTAAGAAAAACCCTCGCCAGCCAAACATCCTCTTCAAAGCGCTTCTGCTGGAAAAATGGCTGTTCCTTAATAAATGAGTGCCAGAACTGCTGCATCTAAGCCAAGTACAACTGTCATTTATAAATTTCTACGTATTGAATTAGTTCTTCGTGTTGCCTCATTCATTTGTTGTGATTGCTGTCACGTGTGAATGGGCATGGATGACTGTGTGAACTAACTACTCGAGTGAATCCATCCCGAATACTTGCTACCTGCCTATCCCTGCCCTGGCACCTTTAAATATTTGGCGACCAACTACACCTGCTTCCCAGCAAGTCAGTCACATGTCTGCATGAAATGAACACAAAAGTAATCCGATTAAACACCCGCTTTGGTGAATTCTGACGGGCACAGTCGACCATCTCGACAGCGCTTACCTTTAAAGGAACGGCGAGCAGGATGGTTCAAAGTGGAGGAAGCTGTAGGTTAGCTGTGTTGTGGCATTGTTTAAGCATTAACAGCTCCATAAAAGTGGGATGGTTTGCAGGTTTGCATGGTTTTATGATAGATTGATTGATTGACACACATACAACCAATCAGTGCTGAATTCAGACATGTGGTGTGTTTATGTTTTTATATTGGTAATAATTAGTGGGACAGAACAGGATACATGTCTACTTTTTCAGTGTTTTACAGATATTTGTCAGGATTTGGAAACTCAGTTTGAAACCACGATGTCTGCTCACGTAGCTTCCCAGCTGGCGTGTTAGCAGTTAGCTTGCAAGTTCCAATAGTTCACTAACTAACTCCTTTATGTTACTTTTACAGTTCACCTTGTAATATGCGAGCACTCTGTGGGACAACTGTACTGTGGTAAGATCACTTTTTTTTGTTGTTGTCATATTTGCTGAAACTTTCACTACACCCTGACAGCAGAACATGAGACAGATAATCTGTGAAAAATCAGGTTCCTCTGGCTCCTCCTAGTGGCTCCTAACAACCAATCAGAGCATAAACTGCTTTTGTAGTTGTTTTAATTACTTGTTTTCTTTTATCTTGTATCTATTAAAGTGTTTTAAGTAATTCATTGTTTGTTTCCTCATATTTATTATAATATATTGTAAATGATAGCCAGCCCTCAATGATTTTCGAGTTTAAATAAAGGTGTGTGTCTATATACAGTATATACAAATGCAGAAAAGGAAGTTTTATTACATTTCATTTGATTTCAATACTCACAATATTGTACTTGCTCATTTTGTTTTCTGCCTCTTGGATTCTCTCTCTTTTGGTTAGATGAAGGGCAGGTTATAGTTGTGTACGGTGCTGATTATGGACGCCGTGACCAGACCACATGCTCCTACCAACGTCCAGCCTCTCAGACCCAAAACGTCTACTGCTCAAACCCCACGAGCAAAGTTGCTGAAAGGTACAGCTGCTCCACTCTTTGTGATGTGAACTTCAGATTGATGATAGCGGAAGTCAAAGTCCATATTTAAAGGTCCAGTGTGTAACATTCAGGAGGATCTATTGGCAGAAATGGATTATAACATTCATGTTTTCAGTAGGGTATAATCACCTGAAAATACGAATCATTCTATTTTTGTTGCCCTATGATGAGCTGGTATCTACAGAGGGAGCGAGCCATTATGTTTCTATGGTAGCCCAGAACAGACAAACCAAACACTGGCTCTAGATTTTTTTTGTGTGTGTTTCGCAGGAACCTTAATTTCTGCTACACCTTCCGAAAAAGGAATTTAAGTGCAATAATTGTTGCAGATTATGCAGATTTCTCTTAAATGATGGTCAGATTTCCTGTGTCTCAGTGCACATTTAATCCTGCTTTCACTCTGCATCCACAGCTGTAATGGAAAAAACAGATGTATTATCAAAGCGAGCAACTCTGTGTTTGGAGACCCCTGCTTAGGCACGTACAAATACCTGGAGGTGGCCTACACATGCCAGTGTAAGTAGCTCAAAGGCCTCTGTTGGGTTGTTTCCCTCCACAGAGGCTAATCTGTGGTCCTAATGTGAAAAGGAAGATGGTCAAATATAAAACAACGGTGTCGAGCTAAACTTTTAGCCTCTGTGCAGCATTCAGTTATTTAGTGAATATTGTAGTGTATTTGAAAAATATATTAATGAGATATTTATGAATTTATGCAGCACAGTCATTTAAATAATCTAACATAAATATGCCATCTGTTCTTTGTTTTGCAGATCCTGTGTGAACATATTGAAATCACAGTTACATAATAATTCTTTTGAACATTCATACTGAGCAGAATCAGTTTTGTGTGACATTAAATCAAGAAACCAATGGAACCTAAATAAAAAAACACTATATAGATACTGTAAATCTAAATCTGATCTGCTTTATATAATACACTTTGAATTACCTCTGTATTTGAAACATGCTAATAAAACAAACTTTGCCTTCCCTTGCCTGGCCTTGTCTCTAAATAATCAATATGCTATACATACACTAACTACACTATATACTAACAAGAACTACTGTACAAACATAAACACATAAATGTAAAAATCATGAAAGGAAAATGCAGAAATAAGTTTACATACAGTAGCTCACCACCAAGCACTGGGGTTGTTTTTCCTACAATAATATGATGATTTCCAAATGTGTGATGGTGCAAGCAGGCAGACACAAAGGACACATTTTAGATTTAGAAAATGAATATTGATGAAATTGGATCCTTATTGCACCATTATGTAACTTTTCTACTTGAAAATAACTTCAGAAGATTTTGATGTTACACAGAGTTGTGACAGGGTGAATGGTTCCTTTGTCATTACCTTATTATGTTGCTGCTGGCAGCTTTGATTGACATTTGTTTGTTTTATTTTACATGTTTGAAATGTTTGAATGTTAAACTTACTGGAAATGTGTGTCTGCAACCAAGTAAGTTTCCTTCCCAGTCTGTTGCAGCTCAAAGTGTTGATTTGCATAAAGAGAGGCAGTTCTCGCCCCAAAGACAATAAATATCAGGTTCCTCCCTCAACCACCATAACTTCACTCTTCAACTCTTCATCAAAATCTGGATCATCTGACACCATGCTCTGCTCCAGACTCAGCGCCACACTGT